GCATCCTTGGTATAATAGATAACAAAAGCAATAGTTACCAAGATGGGAATCTGTCACAGTCGCTTGACCTATTTTGGAGTAATTAGTGGTGTGGGGCACACTTTCTGGCCTGGAAGATCTGCTGCTTCTAAATATTTCCAGATTGATGCTTACGAATAGAAACATTGTTCAAAGTGAGAAGTACAGGTGAACCATTGGAAATAATCAGATACTGTATGTGCATGATGTATGTAATTCTGGCTTATGTTCAGTCTACTTGTCAAGTTACTGCAAAGCATACAGTCTAAGTTAGTGAAGGCTATTTTCAAGCCAAATTTTTATAATCTTATTGTGAATTAATATGGGTAAGATTCGGGGGGGGGGGGGGGGGTATAAAGGGGGGCGGGGGGGGGGGGGGGGGGGATTATAAAAACTTGTTCAAGTTACCCAATGCTTCTCTTTGTGGGGAGGTAAAACCAGTTTTTCATAGCTTTGTATTTGGATGCTGCTTAGGGCAGAATGAGGTTGTGCACAGGGAGTTAGGTCACAAGCACATGTTGAAAGCACACGCGTGTTCCCTAGGATAATTTGTGGCAGTTGCCTTCGATATGTTATTATCTAGCCTGACTGCCTCGTATTTGCCATGAGTTGAGACTCGTATGATCACTTACCATGGGTTGGCTAATCCACATCTACGTGCTTAGTGTGGAGTAGATGCTGTGCTTCAAACCAACATCATAGCCTCGTAGTAGGTGCTTTGTGTAGATGATCGCTGCTTGTTTCTTGGGTATGAATCTTCAGTCTTGCTGTACTTCTGCTGTACTTTTCACCTTTAGACTTCTCTCGCCTAATAACTATCAATTGTGTAAAGCGATGAATCATTTGGTTCTTGCTTGTTGTGAAGGTGGAACAGTTGTAAAGACTGTAGATATCTTAGTTGGGTGTGTAAATATATTCTTTTTCTTACCCAGAGTATTATACAGTATTTTACTGCATGTTTTGTGCTAGTTAACTTCAACAGGGTTAGGCAATACAATTGCTTTGGTACAGCTGCAGTTGCAAATCTTCAGTGTTACTGAAATGTCTGTAGACCAGACTTTTGTTATGATTCCTTGCAAAATCTTTGCTTTGTTGGAAAAAAGCTGTAAACCTAAACAGAACTGAATTATGTGAAAGTCATTTAGTGGTAAAAATTTTAACTATTAAAACAAAAATAGAAGAAACTAAACCATATTTAAAACCAAACTAGAACGGTTTTCTAGGAAAACCTAGTTTTGTCATCTCTGCTGAAATTTGGTGTATGATTTAGTGTAGGTAGAGAAATGGAGTTCTTCAAAATGTAAGTCTTATCAATCACTTAGAGGTCTAAAGTTTTGAAATCTTTAGAAATATACTCCTGTTGGACTACTCTTTTGGACTTCAGCTTACTTTGTAAGTCACTTCTCTGTTTTTGCCTGTATCCATTTTCTCATTTGCTTTCCATAGACTGGAAATTGTAGATTACTTTAGGTTGGAAGGGACCTGAGACCTCAGAAGGGCTTCTAATCACCCCCCTGCTTCAACCATCTCAAACTTTAAAAGATCTGGTTGCTTACGGGCTCCAGTGCCTGACCGCTTTCATTGTGAAGATTTTTGATTTCTTCATCTGATAAGAATTTCCCTTGTTGCAGCATGACTGCTGCTTCTTATCCTTTTGCTGTGAACCTCCAAGAAACACATAATTGTGAAGGTAGCATTTATATTCCTCTTCCCTGCCTTTAGCCTTCTGTTCTGCAGATGGAATAAACCCACCTCCTTCAGCCACTTCTTGTGCATTGTATGCTCGAAGCCCCGACCGTCCTGATGGCCTTTCTCTGGGCTGTCTCCGGCTACATCTGTGGCTGTGGCTGTGCAGTCATTGCTGCCTAAGCTTCCCTCATACAGCTCTGCCAGTCAGCTGCAAGCTTAACTTAAAATTGTTGTTGCTAACTGCTACTTTTCTTGAAATGATGATCAACATTTATTATTTAATATCTGTAGGCTGTAGAAGTTTTAGCAGCTTTTGGGTGGTTTGTACTTCCCAGGAGAGTTTCTTTTTTCAGCTGTGAGGTGTTGTGGGCATTAATGCAGAAGGTCAATAGAGTGAGTTTCCTTTCTGTAGTATTGATGGGGGTAAGTATTCAGTCTGTTGTTGTCCTCTCTCTGACAAGACCATCAAAGATGAAACAGTCATCACACTTTGACCAAGGGTTATCTTTTTTTGTTTCCTTGACTTTTTTGTTTGTTTATTTTCATTTTTGTTCTTTTCTAAGGCTAAAGCTATTCCTTTTAGTGCTGTGCCCTTTGGTCATACACCTGCCTGTGGTATTGCTCATACCATACCCGGTAACTAGCAGTCTTGAGATATGTTGCTTTGGGCACTTAGATTTCAAAACACATAGCTAGTATTTTCATAGGTGGGTGTGAGATGAGTTGTGTAAAGTGTAGGATGTGAAAATAATTATATATTTGTTCCTCTGCCTTAATGAAGGGTGTCTGTGGGGATAGGATAAATAAGGAAGAATACTTCCTGAACAGGCAGTGCAGCAGTGTGGGATGCAGGGTACTGTCTTCTCTTCTGCTGTGTCTGTACTATGCTGCTTATGCTATGGTTAGCACAAAAATTGCTGATCTAATTTGGGTTTAACTGTGCAAATATTACTTTACCTAATTAGCATTGCTCAAAGAAGCTTTTAGATAGATATAACTTTTCTAAAATGTATATGATGTAGGCACTTTGGGGTATCGGCACATACCAGATTATTAAGCCTCTGTGTTGTTCAGCCTGTGTTTTGTAGAGGAAGAAACTTCATGTTTTGCTAAACTTAGTTTGTAGTAACTGTGGTATTGCAGTGACTCTCTTTCTCTTGTTTGCATTTGCAAATTTACTTGCTTCCAATCAAGGCTGGACTTGCCTGTGTACTTCTGTTCTGGCCTATGTTCTCTCCCGGTTAGCTACTAGTTCTCCGTCCTAATGTGCCTGCCCTCTCTCCCCCTGCCCCCCAAGTTCATTCATATGCTTTTCACATAAGCACTCGTTAATTCTGTGAGGGATGATTTTCTGCTGGGTTACAGAGCCTGTTTTCACTTACATGCTGCAATAGATATCAAAACATGAATTGAAAGTCCAGTGGCATTTCAGAAAACACTTAATCCGGCATAAAATTTCATCTAGAATGGATATTATTTTTTCTAGTAATTTTAGATAGTGGATTTTCAAGTGCCACCCTTTTCTTTGTTACTGTTGACTGGTTGGCAAATGTTGCATTTAAGAATAGAAGTTCTCACTTTCTAATATGCACTTGCACCTCTCATGCCAAAATATGACTTGACATCCTGTGATGCATATACCTTTGTATTTAATGTGCATTCCTACCAGATAGCCTTGCACAAAACTGTTTTGTGTTATTACTTAGGTAGGAAGACTTGAAGATCAAGAAGCTGCAGGGCTTGGTTTTAATAATCCAGTTCAGAGCACGTCTCTTGCTGAGTAATATCCTAGCATTGTCTTAACAGCCTCAAATCATCATCCAATAATAGATAACCATGACTTAAAAATTAGGTCATGAATGCCTGTAGTCATCAGAGTTTTACTTGTAGATAAAGGAATGGCTAATCTCTCCATCTCATTACATTTTGAATGTGGAAATCATTTCCTGCTTGCTTCCTTTAATACTTAAACTTGTAAACAGCAGTTTTTTCAGTTCTGACCATACTAGTTCTGAGTTTGTGGTACCCATGCTTACCTGCTTCTCTGGCTGAAGGAGGGTCCTGTCTTTCAGGAGTTCCTTTGTGATGAATGATTGTTCATAGCAAGATGTAAAATCGTCTTCAAAGGTTAAACATTTGCCTTCAGATTAACCAGCTGTTTCCAATTAGTCTTAGTAGCCTGTAGATAGGCAGGCATAGGGCTTGCTCAAGTCTTGATCCTTATTGAGCTATGGCCTTTGGCAGTGCTGTCTGAGTGGAAATTAGTTTTATTTCCGGGGCGATAATAGTAGTAAAATGTCATCAGTACTATGTTGCACTAAGCTTCGTATGATATAACACAGCTTGCTAGCATTTAATGTTTTGATGTTAATATAGATGCTCCTATTGTATTTGTCACTGTAGTATCATGATCTTAAGTCATCGCTTCCTTCACTGGTGTTTGGAAATAAGTTACTGGATTATTATGTATTATTATATTGGTTGTATTGTGAGTATGGTTCCTTGTGGTTATACAGTTGTGACAGTAGTAAATCTCGAAGAGAAAGATAGAGTAGCTTTTTTAACAACTATTTGAAGAGTCACTAGATCTTGTCTACTGGAAGTCAGGTTGAACAAAAATTGGATAGGTTTATTTTAGCTAGCCAACCGGTTTTGCTGTGCTTCTAACCATCTTTTCAGTTAACAACCCACTTTGTTTTAACTAAATTCATGTCAGCTGCTGGCATTGTAGCTAGAGGCTCTTTTCACTTAATATTTCCTCTGCCCTTCTGAAGATGTTGGTTGCATTGTCTCAAGACTAAGCAGTATTTGAATCTTTTATTACTCACGTTGAACCAATGTCTTGAAGGATTTACTGATCCATTAAGAGGCCAGAAATCTGAGGTTACAGTTAATTCTAGTCATAATCTTCCAGTAAAACTTGATTAAATGGTAGCATGTAAGAATTATTTTGCTATTTAGTGCTTTAGATGTTTGAAAGCTGGGATTTGTTAGTCAGAGATAGTGTAAGTCACTATGGAACTTTTATTCCAGGACCTTCTAAGGCAACTGCAGAAGCAACTGAGGACCTGGAATCTTGGCAGTGAGCAGAGTGGGGTTTGTATCACAAGGTTCTGGTAGACCAGTGCCATGACGCTTTTCAAGAAATTATTTGTTTTACTGGAAAGCCACTCACTTTTCATAGAAAATATTACTATATAAAATGCATGTACTGATACTTTTTTTGTATGTTATCATTCTTCCTTCACAGAACCCATTGTAATAACAACAAAAATTTCTATATTGCAGATTTAATCCAGTGCACAAATGAGATGAATGTGAACATCCCACAACTGGCAGACAGTTTGTTTGAAAGAACTACCAACAGTAGCTGGGTAGTGGTCTTCAAATCTCTCATCACAACCCATCATCTAATGGTGTATGGAAATGAGGTAATACAAAAAATGCTATGTCTGAGAACAGTTACAGCACTTCATTCCTATAAATATCAGCTAAATGCTTCCACTAATTATGTTTCTAAGAAAATCTTTATTTTTACCTTGCTGTGTCTAACTCTGAACGCAAGTCTCATTATATGCTTGTCTACTTAATTTGTTTCTACTTTGAAGTTTGCAATTCTAGAATGAAAAGTAAGTGTCGTCAATGCTGGAGGTACCTTATTTTCTGTGGTGTTACTCTAATAATCAATCAAACAAACCCAACAGAAATTAACTTGAACGGGATTCTGAAAGCTGAAAATGGAAGCATTTTTAGGTTCATGCTCTAGCTAATCCAGATGGTCATTTCTCTGAGAACTTGATTCTGAACCGATTTCCACCATCACCCCCTGACATTTTGCAGTGAAGACAAATGTGTGGCTGTGAGCTGTCTTTGAGTGTGAACATCTGAATAACACCAAATACTGTAGAACAATTAAACAAAACCCCAGTTCACACTGAAAGGACTAAGCCTATTTTCTTGAATTCCTATGGGGCCTTATTTTTCGAAATACCAAGCCAAACATAGCAGCAGTGTGAATTTTCTGCATTTAAAAAACCAAAACTATACTTTTTAAGGCTTTCTTAGAAAGCGTTTGTAAACATTCTTTTTTACTGCAGTCAGTGTAAAGTAAGCTATATGAATTTGGGCATTAAGAGAGATAGCTTTAGAAAATTAGAAGTAGGATTTTGTGGAGAGAGCCAAAACTTTTCACTTCAGGTTGCATTGAGAGTTCTTGTAGGTCATGTAACTACTTCCTCTGGCTGAGTGGCTGGGTTGTGGAGGGTTTTAAGTTTCTCTTGCAGGATAGCTGCAGAGTATTTCTGATCTTGGTGAAAATCTATTCTTTGAAGCTAAGTAAGCCACAAGAGGGCAAACTTCTCATGTTGACTTTGAGCATTCTCACTGGGATAACTGACACTTTCTAAAACAGTCTATACGCTTTTGCTGTGCTTGCACTTTGACTCATGTACGTTATAAATGGATGCCTTTAATTACTATGGAGTGTATTGGTATTTCATAGGACCACTGTCTGAAATACTTTCCATCTTAAGAATAAAACTACCAAACAAATTTTGTTTGCTAAATGTGTTACAGAAGTGATGAGGGTAAGATTGCTGCTCAAAATGAAACTCTTCACAGCTAGAAATAGTACTTGAACAATGAACATGGAAATTGAGTGCTTGTGAAAATGTCTAGAAGTTTATAGAGATCTGTAAATACCTTTGTAAAAAAAAAATGGAAAGCATTTGATCCTCCAGCTTTTGCTTAATTCATTTATAGCTAAGTGCTGAGTGTCTTTACTCTTCTCCAGTCTTTTTTCTACATAGCCTATGTATTTGTGCTAATGAAAATAGTTCAGTAGTACACGTTATACTAGTCAGAACTATTTTTTCCTCTGTCAAAATGTTATTGCAAGTGAATGATTGGTTTATTTTTGTAGCAGCTCTCTATACAATGGTTCATAAGACAAAATCATTCGTACTACTAAATTAAGATGTGGTGCCAGTGATCTGAAATATATCTTTACAAGATGAAAATAGCATCATTCATTTTGTGAAACATAATTCAGAATTATGTGTAACTGAGGTAGACTAAGTGTGATATTGTGTTAATGCTCTATATTGATTCTTATGTTTATTTAACATTTGATTTATAAGCAAATGAACATTTGTCACCTTATTTTCATATTTAAGCTAAATACCATTACAACTGCATGCTGAGCAAAGATGCCTTGGCTAATTGGTAAAATGAAATCAACTGTTGTAAAATTGAAGTCGGTGAAACAATCATGAGCACATAAAATGAGAACGTATTTGGTGGATTTTTTCAGAAGTTTCCAGTTCCATATTCTGGCTTAAAATAAGCAAAAGTCTTTCAGTCAGAGACCTTCATGTGATATCTACATGACTTTGATTTGTTCACAGATTTTTACATTAAAAAAAAACAAACTAGCTGCATTTGAACATTCAGCTGAGTTTTTGTAATAGTTTCCAGATTTGAAATCAGTCTTGAAGCATAAAAGCTGAATTTCATAAGCTGGATAAAAAGAGTTTCTAGTACTTTTACCTCTGTTCCACCTCATTGGTAATATAGTAAAAGCATTCAAATTTTTCCTTTCATCTAGCGTTTTATCCAGTATCTGGCGTCCAGAAACACATTGTTTAATTTGAGCAATTTCCTAGACAAAAGTGGATTGCAAGGTAAGGCGTCTTTTTTAATAAAAGTTAGTAGTATGCTGGGGAACAGTAAATACAACTTGCTAACTCCAATGGACTGTGTCATTTAAGAAGTAATTTTTCTGTCTGTTTTATCCCAGACTACATTTCTTAATTAAAAATGTTGTTGTGGTGTGGCAGAAGCTGTCTGCTGGAGGAACTTGTTGCATCTTTTAGGAAAAGCTTACTTATAAATTCTTCTAACTTTCTTAGCTAAACAGATCTGATTTAGTATTCCTCCTATTTCGGAAGAGATTTCTCTGTTTGGAAAGGTATATTTTGATTAGTAAGTTAAATTTCAAAAAATGCATTGTATGTACATGAGATACAGCATGTCAGTGAGACAAAAACTATGTCTAAAGAAAAAAATTAATTTTTTGTGAAATTGTTTGAAGACCACTCCATCCATCTTTGAGACTAATTCTATGGTCAACTAAGTTTTTCTCTGGTTTCAGTGGAAATACCCTTCCAAACTCGTACGCTGAAGTTCAGTGCGGTTTTAATTATACATGTAGCTGTTTGGGTGTGTGGGTTTTTTTGTCTGCTGAGGTGGTTTTTTACTGTCTGCATTACTTTTTATATAGCTGCTTCTAATTTTTGCCACAGGTGTACTAGAACCGGTACACAGAGTGGTTGCCTGGGGACAGAAACCTTCTCAGTGGTAACCAAGTGTCTATGAAATTGCCTCACTTTGAGTCTTAACTTCCATGATCTCAATATAGATTATAAACAGATCTTCTTGATCTGTATCCTTAGACTGACAGTTATCAAAATACTTCTTATCTCCACTGTCTTAAGATAGAAAAATTTCTGTCATGTCTTAATATTTCCTTCAGTGCCTTTTTTTTTCCTATTCAAGTTGCAAATGAGAAAATGTGTTGTGGAGTTCATGCAAACATCTTCATGAATGCATCATGTAATTATTTTGGTAGTAATTTCTATCATAGTACGAAAGAACTTGCGTAAAAATACTTTGTTTTGATTTTGGAAGTGATTTCCTTAGGAAGTAAAGTGTAAACTTCTTAGTCCAGGTCTTCTAGATATTTGCAGTATTGTCTGTTTTATTTACATGGTGAATACAATGACGTACACAGTTCTTAATAACACATTATATTTTTGCCTGATTTTGTATCGTTAGTGAAGCTATCTTCGTTAATATCTTGCACTTTACTTAGAGTAAGGTTCTTGGTCTTTAAATTGACTAGGTAAGTAATAAGCTTCTGAAACTTGTTTTTTTAGGTTATGACATGTCAACGTTTATCAGACGGTATAGTAGGTATCTGAATGAAAAGGCAGTTTCCTATAGGCAAGTGGCTTTTGACTTCACAAAAGTAAAAAGAGGGTAAGGACTGCATTTTGTTTTGTTTATCTTGAGTTTTTGTCTTATGTCCTGTAATTCAAGTGGAAAATACCAATCTTGGCTCCAGCTTAGTACAGACAATAATGTCTGCTTTTCTCAGTCGAATACCTCCCGTGACACACAAAGGCTCAACTGCCAGTTGTGTGTATTACAAAAATATTTTACTTAAGTTGTTGTAATTTTGCTTCTTTAAACATTAACAGTTTAATATAAAGAAATGAGAAATGGTATGCATCAAAGTGTATCTCAAAAAAAAAGTAGAAGTTTGGACAAATCTTTCACTATACATTGCGAGGTTGCTTTATCTTCCATGTAGTATAGGGGACTATGCAATTTACTTGTGTTTCTAGCTCTGGAAGGTTTAAATGACAGGTGTTTTCTGAAACACCTTGTAGTCCTTCCTGGTGTTTCTCTGTTCTTGTCCCAAAGTGTCTGTATGAAGTTTACTACTTTTGTAAAGGTAGTGCAGTTCATGCTTTTAACAGAACATTGCAGTAGATGCTATTCTATCTACAGAAATTAGTCTTCCCTGCAAAGTGAGCTCCTTGAAGAGAAAACAGTTGTTTGAGACTACATGTAAAATAACAGTGCAGAGCACTAGTAGTTGGATAAATTGCATTTCATAGTGAATGATGGAATTAATCTGGAGATCTCCTTCATTGGGAAGGCTGGAGAGTTTGTACCAGTCACAGTTGAAAGTTTTTCCATCTTTGTTCGTTACCTTTGTATGCAGAGCTTTTCAAAATTTAAAAACATAATTTTAGTTTTAGATTTGGGCATCCTTTATCATTCCTACACAGGTTAATTTATATTGAAGCTAAAAACTTAATTCTTAACCCACAAAAATCTCAAAACTGTTAAATGAATTAACTGCAGTAGTGGGCTGTCTAGTGATACCTTACATTAGTGTTACAAAGGTATTTGGAATTGGCCTGAGAACACTGTCCAAACCCCTTGTGCCTCCTTGCTAATACTGTACAGTCTATGTGGCTTTGAAGCGTGATGGTAAACTGAAAGGGGAACACTTGGACTCTTTGCTCTTTCTGCCTTTAGGAATGGTTGGAGTCCCAACAACACGAAACAGTTAACCTTTTCCATATACAGGATGTGTGTGTGGTCAGGTGGCTGCAGATACACTGAAGAGATACACAATTGTTTTATGATCAAGTGTTTTAGGCCTGATGAGGTGAATTATTTAGCCTGCAGCACGTGCCTAGAGGTCCTTCTGTGAGCCAGCAAGAACAACTCTTCTGGTGGCAGCAATCTACCGTTTCCACACCTCAGTTTTTCTTAGGGGTTTCTAGCCGTGCCATCCCAACCTGAAATTTATTGCGGTTGCTGTTCACTGTTCAGAGGGAGTATACACCACAAGTAGAAAACTGGAAGCAGCATGCTCCCTGTTGCTTTCCAGGCTGGAGAACAACCACAGCCTTTTCTGTGCAGATGCACGGTGAGATTTGCACTTGCAGGAAACATTTGGTTTGCTGTGTGCATGCTGATGAACTGCAAGGCTGTCTGATTTGTTGTACAGAAAGCAGTTTTTCTTGTCACTGACGTGATTTAATCTCTTGCTCAGTTGATGCTTTTCTTGGGTATTTTTGGTTTTCATTTGATGAGTTTTTTCAAATGCACAGCCAGTCTGAACAATTAATAAACAACCAAATATTGGTAGTCAGCAGTTTAGAGAAAGTGTCATGTAGTCTCTCTAATGTTTCCAAAAAAGCTTGAAAAACATATTGCCACATTTGTTTATTGTTCCTTACTGCTTTTAGTTCAAAAGATTATCCAAACTGACACAAAATAATAATCAGGTGATTGGAAAAAGCGTAGCTCAAAACTTGATTCAGAAATAACCTTCAGAGCATTTTTTTGGTTACCTGATACATAGTAGCTCTGCTATATTTCTGAGAACTATCAGTTTCATTTCCTCTGAATAAAAATTCATCTTGGATTCATATTTTGGCCAAATAAAAGTTGTTACTTTTGTATGCTGCAGTTATTACAGCTGTATTGGCTAGACAGCATTCCTAAACACCAAAATGCCTGCTTTGAATGGCAATGATTTAAAAGTTTTGTCTGATGACCTATTTTATTTTCTACGTTATGTTTCTCACTAACAATTGCCTTCAAAATTCAGGTGAAGAATTTTCTTTTGTTTTGCACAACAGGGCTGATGGAGTGATGAGAACAATGAGCACAGAAAAACTCCTAAAAACTGTACCAATTATACAAAATCAAATGGATGCACTTCTTGACTTCAATGTAAGTTTAGCAGCTTGTACATGTCTAACATACTCTTGACTTTGTTGTACAAACCTGCACAAGCTTGTAAAATAGGTCAAGATTAAAGGTCTTGAACTTGGTTCTATGTTAGCTGTCCAGCTTAAAGAGCACAAATCTGCTTGTTCATTGGTATACCCTCAAGAAATCAGAAAAAAGAAATACGATGCTCACTGGAGAGAATGTGTCGTGCTAAATTAGTGTTGTTCATTGTATAAGAATGGTTTGTTCATTTAAAAGTTGATTATTTCTGCTCTCTGTCTTCTAGTTATGTTAACATTAACATTAGTTAACAAAAATGTCTGCCAAAATGATTTGATTTAATTCTGTGCTGAGAGATCCTGTATTGATTTGCTATGCTGCAACTTTCCACTAATAGCCAGTGAGATGATTGGAAAGCATGCCTTGGGATGGAGTACTGGAGTTCAACTAGGAGTTTTCCAGTAAGGGATCAATTAAGTTAAATTAACTTTTTTCTGATCTTCCTAGGTCAATAGCAATGAACTTACAAATGGTGTAATTAATGCTGCCTTCATGCTCCTCTTCAAAGATGCCATTAGACTGTTTGCGGCATATAACGAAGGGATTATTAACCTCTTGGGTAAATATAACTGCTTTCTGCAATTTTAAACTTTGGGGAGGGAGATCATTAAACAATTGCTTTTTTTTGAGAAGTTGAAGTAGTCTTACTGTAAGACTTCAAAATATTACTGTTACTTCCAATTCAGATCTATTTCCAAGGTTTTTCTGTCCAATTACATTTTCCATTGCATTGTTTAAAGGGATGGGTAAATTTCTGAAAGCAAAGCCCATTCAAGATTTTCTTCACTTAATTTTTTTTTCTTGCAATGCCTTGTTGTGTGTTTTTTGTTTGTTTGTTTTTCTGACAAACCTGAATCATGATACTGATTTCTCTTTAAGAAACAAGATCAGGTTTTGTTTGTTTTTAAGTGGAATAAGTTATGATCAGTTACAAATTTGTGGTCACAGCATCTGTGATTGGTTGGCTACTGCAATTTTAACATTGCTTGTTGTTTTAATCATTGGTTGGCTTATGTTTCTAGGGCATATCTTATTTTAAGGAGAATTGCAAATTCAGGGTTCAGGCCCTTTCCCTTGCACACACTGGAAATGCAAGGGAGCCAAAATTTGGAAAATAATTAAGTTAAAAGTAATCTGTTGATTTGCTTGGTTTGGTTATATTTTGTGATTGGATCAAGCTACCTGATTGCTGTTGTTTCCTGATGCTTGTAAAATGGGAAGCAAAATGCAGAATTAGTAAAGGACAGTCTGAAGTCAGTCAGACTTCTTGTCTGAAGCCCCTGTCTACTTCTTTTCCCTCAGTGAGAATTAGCATGCAGTTGCTTTCACTCATGTTTTGAGTGAAGCCTAATATAGAAACAGGCCTTGAAAGTGCTATTTCAAGAAGTGAGATGGGACCCTCTTGCTTTCAGCATGGATATTTTGTAATCAATTGCACCTCGTTGTAGACCACACCATAACAAGAGACATTGCTCTGGCGGAGAATATCAAAATCTTGCCTGATAATGTGGCCACTGGAATAGAGTATATGTTTCACTGTCAGGTTGTAAAATTGCCTTCCCCCTGTCCCTAAGAAGATGAATTTGCATTTCTTTGGGTGATATATTCTTAAACCTGATTATCCTCTTCAGGGTGGTTATGCTTTTGTGAGATCTAGTACCTGCAAGGTAACATGTAATTGCATGCATGTGATTGTTAGCTCAAGTTTGACGGAGCTTTTATCATTTGGTGCAAGTTAGGCATAGTGACTTCTGTGGTTGACATAATAAAACAGATCTGCAGGCATTTTCTGTTCATGTTGTTTTATATGCTTTTACTTTGCATACTGTTTGCAGAACGTTTGATTTCTTATTTAATGCAAGTATTCTTACTGTTCATAGAAAAATACTTTGATATGAAAAAGAACCAATGCAAAGAAGGCCTTGATATATATAAGAAGTTCCTCACTAGAATGACACGGATCTCGGAGTTCCTTAAAGTTGCAGAGGTAAACTTTAGTCAGCCAAACTTTGTCCTTTATTTGAAACAGCTAAAGTGCTTATTTTCTCATAAAGCAGGTATTTCTTCCTTCCAGCCTAATTGCAATGCCATCAAGGATCATCTTGTGTCTCTGCCCTAGTGATTAGTTCATTTGAAGGCTGTGTTGAAAAATCTGACTGCAAAATATTTACTGTTTTATCTTTTATTTAAGGAGGGTGTATAAATATACATTTTAAAATTTCCTTGGTTACATAGTAATTGTGATATTTCCTTGAAGAATAGGCTTGCTATAAACAACATGGTGATCTACTGCTTTCTATGATTCTAGCTGTATTCTAGTTTGAAACCCACAATTCTGCCATTAGTTTTAGATGAAATAACAGCTTCACAAATGAGAAATTGAAACAAATAGATGAACATGTGGTTATTTTTTTTTTAAAGGTGTCTTGGCTTATAGGTGTGTTTATAGAGGAAAAAGCAGTTACCTTGCAAAATGTTTTGTTTGTGGGTTTTGGGGGGGTTTTTGGTTTTGTTTTTTTAAATTTATTTAGTCTGTTGCATTCCTGTTTCTGAAACATTGCTGAGTTGATGTCCTAGTATTATGGAATTCCTCAGTTGAGGTGTGCTCCTGTGCTTGTTTTGCTTTCCTTCATTACTCGTATCTCTCTCAACAAAAAATTAAGCCGTAAAGCTTGGCTCACTGTCTGTCCTGACAGAATATCTTTATCAGAGGTACTACCTTCAGCTATCTTCAGTTGATAAGTATTAACCTTTCTATTGTAACAATATATATTCTACTGCAAAACGTCTTAAGTTTGATCTGCATTATAGAAAAGAGGTTCTTTACAAAACTTTGAAGGTGCTTTGGTTTAGCAAATATGTGCTCTACATAAGTAGGTCTGAGCATTTACCCCATAAATTGTGGGATACACAAAATTTTCTAGCCTTAAAATTCTGAATCACTTGATTCTTACTCTATTTTATTTCTAAGGTTGTAGCTGTTAAAATATCTCTGATATGCCTGCTTCAAATGTGTGTACATTTAACAGAAGAATTTATTGTAACCAACTGTTATAAATTTCAGATTGTGGAGACTTAAAATGTATATGGACAGATTTGTGCTTTTTATGTCACTTCATCTTAATGTTGTTTGCTTTTTGAGCATCTCTGCCTTTGACAAAAGCAAACAGGTTCTAAAGCTCATTTGTTTTATTACAGCAAGTTGGAATTGACAGAGGAGACATACCAGATCTCTCACAGGTAGATAAACCTATTATGTGTTTGCCAGTACATGTCTGTGGTGGGGTTGTGTAATCAGAAAAACTTGGCATTATGGCATTCTCTCATGCTTTCTTGTGTACATTGTCACCAAGTTATTTCCAAGTTTGTGGTTAAACCCAACCTCTGTCAGAGCCTGGCTTTTATATGCAGTGATCCTATTGTAAAATATTATAGATCATTTCTGTCACACGCTAATTAAGTTTTAAGACAACCTTATTTCTATCATGCTTGGAGATGCAATTTATATCTGTAATTTCACATAATGGAACTTTTACATGATATTATGAAGCTGTGGTTTTTAGCAAGCTTACTTTTGGCTATGTGCCCATTTAAATCATTGTGAAGACTTGCAGAGTGTGCACATAGAAATGACTTTAGGTACAATTTCCTTCTTAGAGTCTCTTGAAATACTGACTGCTTCCGTTTGTCTGCTTGCTGTTTCCTAGCTGTTAATTTTAACATCTCTTGACATATTTCAGTACTTAGTGGTGAGTCATTATGACAGAGTAATGTAGTGAGGAGAGTACATCACCTGGTATTTTAAGTAATTAAATATGTACAGGATGCCAAAATGCCGTATAAGTATTCTGAGCTGTTATACCAGTTGCCCTCTGAAAATCTTAGCTACTGATTTGCTTTGCCTCACATTCTTCAAATCTGTTCCTGAATGTCTCTTTTTGCAGGCACCGAGTAGCCTTCTTGATGCTTTGGAACAACATTTAGCTTCTCTAGAAGGGAAGAAAATCAAAGATTCCACAGCTGCAAGCAGGTGCTTATGCCCTTGTTTTTTTAAACAATTGTTGAATTGAATGTTAAATCCATTATTTTCGATTTCATTATAAACTAAGATGTGTGTAGGCTATGTTGAAGACATAGTATTAGCAATGATAGAATAGCAAGTTATCATATCTTTTGCTGAGTACTTAAGACAGCTTCTTCCAGGTCAACAGAACTAGAATCGAAGGAGCTGCAAGCAATTCCTGTAGAATCCATCATGTAGTAGTTATACTTTTAACATCTAGTCTTGAACTTCTGCAGAGAAACTAAGGTTTTTTCATTTACTGCCTGCAAATGTTCATTTTATGTTAATAATTAGAATTCTGTAAGATATGCAACATTAATAAATAAATGTCCTTAGACTCTTATATCTCAACTTTAATCCCTTTTTTGTCAAAAGCAAGGAAACTCTTCCAGAAGTCCTTACATTAAGAATGGATTGTTAAAGTAATTGAGGATTAAAGCTATAATGAATATGGTAAAAGGCATTCACTGATTTAAGTGCTTGCTAAAACACAAAGTGCAATCTAGAGAAGTCCTCTAGGCAACTGATTTTGTTGTTTAAATTTTAAAAAGCTTAATATTAGGGTGAAGACTTGTAAAAGTAAATAGCATTTTTTATTGCATGTTCAAAAAGTGGTAGTGACAATATTAGGGCTTAGCACCATTCTGTTAGCTACCTTTCAGAATTTTGCTTTCTTTTGTAAGATTACTTTAGTTTGTTTTGGAAGTTAAGTATTTGTTTTAAATCTTTTTGCACACTTTTAAACATGATGATAAATTGCTAATTTTTCCTCTGGGATATACTAGTTGCATTGGTAGCTTCTGGACTAAACGTGTTAAATTAGCAACAGTTTGAATTGAAGCCCAGTTTATCGGATATTCACATGTATCTACGAATAATGTCATCGTAGGCAAACAGGAAAAGAGCAAAGGCTTCAAACATGAATTCTATGATGCAGTTTGGAGGGGAAACGTTAAAGGGTGAAAATCCAAAATCCAATGTATAAGAGTAGATAGCATGATTTCTAGGCATTTTCATTTTGCAGTTCGTATGGTGTATCTTATTTAAACTTACCACTTTGTATTGTACAGTGTAAGATATAACCAATGTTATAAAGAGTTCAGAAGGAGACTGGGTGGATACAAGCAGTGTTCTTTAGATGTTCCTATCATGTGTCACCTATTAACAGCCAGCTTTTCTCCTGTCCAATTACTTTAGGGCTACCACCCTTTCCAATGCAGTCTCTTCCCTTGCAAGCACTGGCCTGTCCCTCACAAAAGTTGATGAAAGGGAAAAACAAGCTGCTTTAGAGGAAGAACAGGCTCGCTTAAAAGCTTTAAAGGTAGGCATATGGAATTCTTAATTGAAAATACTTTTCCTATGTTCTTGTTGATAGCTTATTAGGATTCTTAAAGGAGCAAAGGGGAAAAACAGAGTTATTAATACTGAACATGTACTGTTGGCAAAGTGCTGGAAATAGAATCTTATGTGCATGTACCGTACAAGTTGTGGAGGGTTTGTTAAAATAGTTTCTGAAGGATTTGTGGCACCACTGACTCTTGTAACTATAGGCAGCTGATACTAGTGTGTGGAATAAATAAAACGAATTCTTTAGTTCTGCTTTACTTACCTGCTAAGTCATATACACAAATGTTGTTTCTGGATTTCTTATGCCATCTCACTTTCCCAACAGGAACAACGTCTAAAAGAACTTGCAAAGAAACCTCATACCTCTTTAACAACTGCAGCTTCTCCTGTGTCGACTGCAGCAGGAAGCATAATGACTACACCAGCCATTGATATTTTTTCTACCCCTAGCTCTTCAAACAGGTATGCTTAATGGTGTTACTTCACTGTGAGATACACTGCAGCTAGAGTTTCTTCTAAATTTCTGCTGCGGAGTATACATTGCAGAAGGTTGGTTGGGTGTAGAGTACATTAGTGATGTGATAAGAAATGATGTTTTGGGTGAAGTTGATGAGAAAATAACCTATGGCCATAAATAACATAAAAAGTGTGTTTTCGTTGTCCATTTGCAGAATAGTTTCTGATACAAACCAACTGCTAACAACCCTTGTAGCTGTTCTTAGTTCATTAGCCAGATGGTTGGAACTGTAAAACACACATGCTTTGTCCCCAAAGAACCTTACAAGTTAATTTGGGAAAAATCAGATAAAAATTCAGTTTGAGAGGTCATAATACTGAATGTAATGTTGCATTTCTAGATCTCTAAAAGTAGACTGGTAGCGAATGGTCTGCGTAGATTTTCAGAAAAAGGGAAGCCTGAAACAGGGTTTGAAAGAAGAGAGGCAGGTTTTGCAGTCTAGAGTTATATCTGGAACATCTCTGTCTGCAAGGACTTGCAAAGATAGTGCAAGAGTACTCACTGCATGCTAATCATAATCTTTGACTAGCAGGAACTGTTGGTATGAGTAAGTGTGTGATCTTCATTCTCTAAAATACCTGTCAAATCAAGCAGTAGCAGAAGGTACAGTGCTTTTATCAATATAGAAGGAAATAGCCCTCTGAAGGCATATTTTTGCTTTGAGTGTGATCCTACACCTAAAGGATTGCGTAGTTGTTCTGTTAGAGCTCACATAAGAATCTACTGTTCTTTTAAAGTAATCAGCACTTTGACAGCCTTCTTTCCTCATTAGAAAGCTATTGTAGGAAATTACTTGACACCAAATATAGGAAAATAGTTGAATCACATATAAGGAGCTGGAGAATCTGTCAGTGTTAGTAACTGAAAGATTTTCTTGAAAAAATATTTTCTAAATTGTTTTTTTGAGAGGCCAAAATATTTGAAATGGGCATATGCTTTGAACTAGTAACTTGAATATGTGATCTTGATTCTTAAGAGGGCTGAAACATAGAAACATCTGATAAATCTTCTTCAAACAGCCGGAAATGCTACATAGTGAAGACAAGACCATTTTATTCTAAAAAAACAAAGGGTAGTTTGTCTTCATGTTTAAATTCAGTTGCTGGCAGTACGACTGCTATGAGCAAGGAACAGATTTTACAGCAGGAGCTGCCATGAAGGGGATATGTTGGGTCACAAGTTCAGTTGCTTGCTGGTAGATACAATGTGTCCGATTAATCCCTATCATTAACTTGAACAAGCTTTACCTTGAAAAATTACCTTGATTCTGCTGCTCACATTACAGGGCTGTGCCAGACGATGCCGCTTTTTAGTAGCAGCAGTAGTCACAAAATGTGATTTCAGTCATTGTTGAAATGAAGTAGTAAAAACTGAATGAAACAGGTGATTGGGTCAGCAAGAGAATACACAGAGATCTAGGATGTCACTACTAGCCTTTAAACTCTTATGCTCTTCTCATTTTGAAAGATGCTTGGATGTCACAGTGACTTAGCTTCTGTCCGTAGTAGCAGCCATATGTGCAAATTTTGGTTCATTTTTGTGTTCTAAAAAGTTTTAGGTGAACACCGATACTCAGGTTTTTTCAAGACTATTTTAAACTATGGAATTAACTCTCTGCAAGAATATGAATTTTACTGTTCCTGTTTCACTTTTGAAATTATTGCAACAGTTGTATATAAGACTTCACTCTTCATTTCCATGTGATGTTTTTAGGTCTCAATATGGGTTTTAATAGTTTAAAATGTGCATTTAAATGAGTTTTCATTCACTCAACTGAGGTGTGACCAAGTGTTTCAAGACTTCTTGTATTTTGCTTTCCCCAAAGTTCTTTAATAGCTCATAGACATAAGCCAGTTTCTCAGCAGTGATTGACAGTGGAAAGGTATGGGTTGTTGAATTTAGATAAAACATTTTGGTGTTACAACCCATTAGATTTCATTCTGTCAGTCTGCTTTTGTCATAGTGTAGAGCTTTCGTGAGGTTATTTTAAAAGTTGCTGAAGGTTGCTGAATGTAACATGCTCTAGCCCTGGTGTTGGACTGTGAGGAAGATGAGAAGACTGTTTGTCTTTCTGTCTTAGCTTTGACAAAAGTCACTTGACATAACATAGAACTTAGCTTGCTAAATTAACACTTTTCTACAGAACTGAAAATGTGAAGTCCACCAGATTCTGATTTTGGCTCAGTTCTATCCATTTTGTAACAACCTTTTTGTAACAAATCTTCCCTTGCTGTTGACAGTCGCTAGCATTTGCCTTGTGTTGATAACTGTGGTGTAGTTCAAACAGTTGTATTAATTTATCTTTGTAGCACTTCAAAGCTGCCAAATGATCTGCTCGATTTGCAGCCAACTTTTCATTCATCTGTACATCCTATATCTGCTGCTCCACAAGTAGGAAGTACCTGGGGAGGTAAGAATTCTGAATTGGATTAAGGTTTTGATTTTTGATTGCTATGACCATGTTCCTCTAACTGTTTCCCTTAGTCTGTGGGCAGCTGCTTCCTTAAAGACAGAGATCTTGCAAAGACAAGCTACAAGTGGATGAAGGGAGCAGGAAAAAGTCAAATCTGGATATGAATTAAAACAATGTGGCAGTATGTGGTGATTACAAAGAATTTTGATATGAGAATTCTTAGTAGCAAAGTTACTTTAATTGTTGACCGGCTCTGTCAGCCTCATAACTGCTGTCTTCAAGAGTCACATAGCAAGCTACAGAAACTTAGCTGTGAGAAGTCAGTTCTGTGAAGATGTCTGCCAGACAGACCATGTTGCATACATGGGAACTTGAATACAGTGGTTTTCTAATACACATTTTAAATTTTGTCAAATATTAAATCAAATTTGCAGGTGATAATAGAGCAGAACTTGAATGAGGCTTGAAAGCAGGCAGTTGCAACAACTACGCATAGAAGGAAAGAAAAGCCATAGTTAGTTATTGAAAACAAAATAAGGCACCTCTTTACAAATTCTCTGCTGTATTTCATTTAACTACAAAGATGAATTAGCAAATAGCTGTGGTTGCGTCTCTTCAAGTGAAGAGACAAAATTTATAAGGAACTTTTCCCTCTGAAACTTACTTTTGAACACACAAATTATCATTCTGTCCAGCTGCTAGGATGGCCTGAATGAGATGTTAGGTTATCTTATTGATACAGGCAAGTCCTTAAACCAAGGAGGCAAACAAAGAGCGTTCTAGAAAGTCATGAATGTTACTTCAAGATTAGTTTGAGTGTTAGAGCGTTTAGTCATTTACTCAAAGCCTGTTCTGAAATTTTACTTCACTGTTTCTTTTTGAGCTATATCTTTTCCTAAACATCTTTCTAGTTATATATCTTCATAATATGCAGTGTATGTATTCTAATTTCCTATTTACTTCTTGCTGTGTACTTTGCATTTTGTGTACCTTCTCACATTTGTTTGTAGGGAAAACACACAATCTTGAGTGATGAAGGCAATAGTAGTATATGTGGTAGCTTCAAAAATAAATAAAAGTAGTTTACTTGTCCTTTAGTTTTGCTGAGCACAGCATCTTTTGAGAAAGATGCAGTGAGGAGCCTATTGAGTTATGCATGCAAATTTCAATGTTTAATAGGCTTTGAGTTTAGAAATGGAGAAAAATGTGTTGGCTCATCGTGTTTGCTTTGTGGAAAATATCTTCTGTTTCAGCTTGTCCTATTTGTTTCATGGGTGAGAGATAAAAGGGGAAATTATCTTCCTCTCGAAGGTCACATCAGTCTAGCATTTCTTTATTAACCTGAAAATTGAACCTGAAAATCTGTGTGTGTTCAGTGTTGTGTTACTCCTGGTAAGAGTCTTCAGTAATAGTCATTCATATACCTGCTTACTATTGAAACACTTTCAAGATTTAATTAACAATGAAGATTTTTGTATTGTCTGCTAAAATTTTAGGCTAAAATTCTGGGATTGCCATTTTTTGGTGTTGCCTTTCATCCAAAAAAAAAAAAAAAATCTCTTCAGCTTTACCAACATGAACACTCACCTCACATAGGTGACGTAGATAAGAAGTGCTTTCCACATTTTACAGACGGGGAAGTCTGAGCAATTAACTGACTTGTCTGAAGTCATACAGCAAGTCAGTGGCAGAGCCAAGAATGGAACCTGAACTGTTTCCAGTCCTGTGCTCTAACCACTGCACGGCATCCCTCCCTTAGGTAATTTTATGACATGATGATGTTTGTATTTGGTATGTATGGTGACTTTGAGAAGCGTATCAAACCAGGTACAAGTTGCAATGGACTAAAATCAGTTACTGTTGAAAATTTTGTGCAGCAGCTCTTAGGTGTGTAATGAAAGGATAAACTGTGACAAAAGCACTAGATTTGGGTTGCTGCCTTTTGTCTTGTGCTTCCAAAAATTTTAGACCTAACAAGGTTCAAAAAATCCCAGACAATAGGTTCTGTAACTGTATGTTTTCAGTTTACTTTTTTCAAACTCTAAGAGATGCCACTGAAAAACCTTTGTCATTGTTCTTTGAGGTAAAATACTTCTAGTTGAGTAACTTAAAGATAGAATTTAGCAAAATTCAAATTACTCTTTTAAATACACCTGAATCGTTAATGCCTAATGATATCCTGGAGGTGCAGAGTGCTTCCACTGATGCTAACAGATGCCTTGTATGTTCAAGGATGAAACTGGACTTTAGAAACATTGAGGTGTTGCTGTCAGGAAAGACAGCAATTTTAAAAATCTGATTATGCAAACCCAATTAATTTTCAGTTACCTTTCAAAACTTGCCAGTGCTAATGACAGACTCGGACAAGATTGAACACACTGGCTAGAATTAGAATGGAGCAGACAAGTGAACATTCTGAGAACAGATTACACTTCTGAGAAAATTTTGACAATCTAAAGCTGTATTGCGTTGTCTTACTAGTCAAAACACGTGAAAATCCATATACAACCTTGGGATTTGGGAAGAGAAAGTAGTATTTAGTAATTTTCCTATTGAGTGCATGTGTAAAATATTTCCAGTGGACAGTAGTTTCAAACAAATATGTGTTTTACCTTCTTTCATATTGTTTTATCTGAGCTGTTCATTGGGATTGTTTGGAGACCATTCCAGCTGTGGCTGGTATATTTGCCAGCTATCAATTTGTACCTAAACTTTAGAAGCAAAACAGATGTATCAGTGTGGAAATAATAAGTATGACCTATCTGTTTGGATTTTTTCCAATTACAAGGAGAACCAATAGAATCAGAAGAATGTGAAGCAGCAACAGAAAAAGCACGCATGAGCTGATTAAAGGATAACCTGACCTGTTTTATTGTCAGATCTGTTTGTTCTACAGCTTCTAGAATAGCATTCAAAGCAGACAACAACTTAAGCAGTACCTGAAAGCAAGGACTGAGTTTCAGGTGACTGGCTGATTGGCATGCCCACAAGTGCATTAGGTGGTAATATTACTGTCTAAAACATACATAAGACAATAAAAAGTTTTGTATTGCTCTTATATGTTACAAACACTGTATTAGCTTATTCTGCTTATCCTTTATTCAGTGTTGGAAACTCATTTTGCTTACTGAATGATTTAGAAAAAGACCTTTTAAGGTACTTCAGTCATTCTTGCAATGTAGCCAGGCGATTTGGGAGAGAAGTCACATCTTACTCAGTAAGACATTTTGAGCTTGCAGAAAATCAAAACATGTATTAAGCCTGCGAAGAATAATGCAGTTAGGGTTTTAAAATTCCATTTTCTTTAGGACTTGCATGTGACTGAAACCTACATGTGATCAAACTGTGGGGGATTTATAGCTAAGAATCAGGAGGTCAGATTCACGGAGAGAAAAAAAACGTAGATTTTGAAGCTGCTGCATACTTCATGGTAGTATGTACAAGAGTTGGGGATAAATTGGTAATCTAACCACGTTTTAAAAAAAAAAAATAGGCCAGAAACTGAAGTACTTAAGAAATCTCTCTTATAATTATTATTCAGACATTTCTCTGTAGTGGTTTTGTCTAGAAGAGTAAGTTGCAGTTCTAGGCACTGTGATAAAACAAATAGGGCTAGATGCAACTCTTGCTGATCTCACTAGTGAGTTCTTGAGTTTTCCATCAAGGATGCCTGTGCTTTGAAGCCAGACAGCTAAACCACAGCTCCTTCTGTCAACAAGTATTGTAGCTGGCTTTTCTGTCCTGTTTATCTGTTGGATCCTGGAGTACAGGAGTATTTTAAATTGGAAGATGTATCTATTCTCAGGAAGCCTTGAAACTCTCCTATGTGCCTTGGGAAGTGACTTGCACAGATACAGGTTTCCTTCATTCCCCAGTATGGTCCAACGGGTTTTTAATAAGGAAGATTTTCCTTGTCACTGCTCACTGGCTGTTGTCCCTCAAAGCAGAGCACGTTTTTGCTTGCTTGCAGCTAATGGCATATCCACCACAAGCCTGCTGCTCCTGATGCCCTCAGTAGTAAGGAAAGTGCTTTTGTCCTGTATGCTGCCTTGGTGTATTCATAGCTCTTGAAAATTTCATGATGCTCAGTAACAAAAAAAAAAATAATCCATAAACACAGTTTGAAGAAGGGAAAGTACAGCTCTGTTGTTTTTATTCGAGTTTTTAAAGCTATCCTCAGGATGGTATTGCATCGAATCCTTGCTTGGCACCTGGGATTCTGTTGTGCTAAGAGGTAGTCTCTACTCCAGGGAATTTGTTGCAAGTGTCAAGACGTGACTGAGTGAAGCAAAACGAGTTTAAAGAGGAATACCATACTAATTTTAAGTACAAAGCACACTCAGGAGGAAGCACAATTCATAAGACCAAGGTAGTATTAATTTAAAAAAAAAAAGTGTAGCTAATATCTGTATTATTTTTCTTGAGCAGAGAACAGGTAATTCTGGACAACTTGAAAATTAAACAATTAGCTAGGTCATCCCGAGTTTAGAGATGTCAGGTGAAAACTATACTTCCTGGACTCTTAACTCGTACTCTTCTATACCTAGGAAGCAGCATGTGACTAAATGCATCTCCCTTTTCTTCTTTCTCTTGCTCTCTGGAATTGAACAGATCCTTTTTCTGCTACTGTTGATAGTGTTGATGATGCCATTCCAAACCTAAATCCTTTCCTTACAAAAACTAACGATGCTGCTCATCTGTCTGTGTCTTCTGATGTATCTGCTTTCACCAGTAGGACACCCACACATGAAATGTTTGTTGGTAAAGTACCATTTTAAACTAATTTCCTATCTCCTAAAAATTTTAACATTATGTCAGTTTCTAAAGTATATTTGCGGGGCCTTTCGCAGACTAAAAGCTGGTCATTTGGGGCTGACTTTGTGCTATGATAGAACTTGATTTAGTAATTGTGCCACGAAAATGGTGTTAAAATCCTTGCTTGGCTACCTAGATGGGATTCTACCTGATGCGAAGGAACTTAGTTAAAGCAGTTGTTTGAGTGAGGTTTTATACAAGGTCTCTTATGCTTAGGAATGTTAAAGTAAAATACTACATATGCCTGAGAACGAGAAGAAAACACTGCTGCTTTGTTCCTCAGGTTGAAATGTTCTTTTTAAACATAGGAGCTTAATCTAATTTTTTTGGTAGCGGATGTTTTTCCCCCAATCATGCTGGCATTAGCAAAACTGATAAAGCCATGCACATTCGGGTGCATGGTCTACTCAAACTGTTTACGTATTAGGCAATAAACTAATACCTAGCCGTTTTAAAACTGTTGAAATCTTACTTTGGGGGTGATTCAGCATGGCAGTTGTATTAGAAATCCTTCTAACAATTCTGTTGGTGCAGCTGCGTAGTAATTTGATTACTTTTCAATATGAAGAATTAAGTTAGCTTTCATAGACTAAAAAATCCATTAATTACGTGTTGGTTCTGTTCTTAAGCAAATCTAGGTTTAAAGACAGTTGTGCTGCACCACGGGCTTTCTTTTTGTAGGCTGAACCCCACTAGAATTGATCACAGAAGAATCCAGACTCTTAGAACAAAAGAGATCTTTGATGTCTCTGATACTTGTTAACAGAGATAAAACAAAAGGGTCTTTAGAAGTATTCATACCACCTACATTTTGTCACCCAAGCTAACTAGTTTGTCTTTGGTTAATGGAAAGAGAAGGCAACCAAGATCAAGCACAAGAACTCTTGCTGCAAACTTCTCTCCACAATTCCCAGGGAGGATTAGTTGGCTGAGGCAGTAGTATACAAATACTTTAAGCTGGTACTACTGTGTAATAATCTGACCTGTGCTTCTAATCGGCCTTTCCCATGCTTCCAATAAAATGTGCATGGTTCATGTGAATGTAGAATGATTATTTGAAATACAGCTTTTTTTAGTAGGGGGGTTATTCAATCAGGTTGGTTTCCTCTGTATAATGTGTTCTGCAGGCATACAGAAAGCTGCAGCAGTGCAGGGCTGTGAACAAGGAGCCTGTTGGGTTTTTGTGGCACTTGCTGGTTTGTGTACTATTCGTCACACAACAGCCCTGAAGTCAGTGGAGATGGATGGCGTTGATACATTGCATTCCCTTCCAGCATCTCATTCTCTGTAGATATATCTAAAACCAAAGTGTGGCCTCCTGACAAATTGATATGTGAAATGTAAATGCAGTTTTAGCTATAGCACAAAGTGCTATGATAATGTGAACGTGGATTTAAAATAACTCTTTCTGGTTCTTTAGATCATTACAATCCATTTACTGAACTAAATCCCTTTGTGGCAACCAAATATGAATCCACTATTGGGCTGTATCCTTATACTTCAGGTATAAGAAAAATGCCTTGAAGCTTTTACACTCATTTCTTCTAAGGGTGTAAAACATGGCATTTGCTTGGGGAAAAAATAAAAAAGAAAAGTATTTATCCTAATGTAGCTGTAACTTTGAAACTGTGCTTTCCCCTTTTGTGTTAGATAATGTTAAACTTGTTTCTTACTGTATGTCTGGTGTGTACTGATTTCATTCCATTGGTTCTATGTTATTAGAGTATATGTGGATTTATAGACTGACCTGAAATTAAGTTTTTGAATAGCAGATAAACAGTATATCTTGGTTCTCTTTCTGTAACTCTCCCTCTTCTCCTTTCCTGGCTTCCTCTTTTGTGTGATACGCCTTATCAGATTCTTTTTGTGGTCCTCAAGCTTACCCTAATGCTTCTCATTTCCGCAATGAGCCTTCTTCTGTAGCTGGTCTATTTGGAGGTAGGTAATGGGATACAGCCTTACCACAAACACAGAAATTTGAATGTGTTGTGTGCCTAGAACTAGTAGGTATGTTATTGGCTACAGAAGTGCCTTATTAGAGCGGCTCCGGCTTTTATTCCTGTGCTTGTGCTAGGTGTGTTGTCACAAATGGTATATATTTTTTCAGTTTGTGCTAAACCAAGGCTTATTTAGTCTAAACATAAAATGAGTATCTCCCCATTTCAGGATCTCTTGTAGTTTACATGTTGCTACAATGCCATGCGAAGGACTTGCATGTTGTCAGTATCTTCTCATCTGACTCTACCTCATTGTTTGTAAAATAAAGGGATTGGGATGTTCTTGCTGCTTATGGCATTTTTGTTGATACATTACTCTTAAACAGTGCACTAAACTAGTACAAAGCTTTGCAACAGAACATGAGAAAGAGGTATTTGCTGCATTAAATTGCTGGCTAATCATTTGTGCAGCTGTGTAATGTCTGTATAGTAACCCAGTGCTGATGCCTGTTCTGGAATACCATCCTGACAGTCGCTAGACAGGCTGTGGACTGTGATGGATGATAATCTGTCTAACCCAGATTGAACAGGGAGTCTTAAACCTTGCATAGCAACAATGTTAGGAATACCTTCCATAAATGGTTTCTGGAAGAGTTAGTTCTTAAAAGCACCATAAAGTCACGTTTTGGTTTAGTGTCTTTGAACAGAAATTAGCTAGAGTCGTTTAACGAAAGGTTAAATACTACATATGATTCTGTTCCCTTTGTTCCATATCCAAAAAGCAGGATGATTAGTTTCTGTCAAGTCTTGGTTTATTGTCTCGAAGGAACTCCATTAAAAATACTGACCTTTGCACCTTTCAAAACATCCAAGTTAGACAAAATGCCCTGGGCTGGTGGTTGATACTGGGAGTAGGTTTTTTGATCATTTTCAGAGGCTGATTCAAAGGAGTCCTATGTATTGTTTTGTCTTCTGGCTTGTCTCACCTCGTTAGCTTCATAAAGCTAGAAACTTCCTAAAATGTGAGAGCAGGAAACTCAGCTTGTTTCAGTTAAGGCTATTTTCTAAAGAAAAATATGAGCTATTGTAAGTCAAGTTTTCTATTGGTACAGGCACGGTTTTAAGAGTTGCAGGACATCCCATCAAAGGAATTCCTATCCGCAGTTCAGAGTCTCTGAAATGGCTTGTTACAACTTGACGGTATATTTGTCATAAAGATACTCATTTTGTTTTGTTGATTATTTACTCCCTATCTTTTCCCACATTACTGCTTCCCATGTTTTGCTGTATGCTGTTTTCCTTGATTGTTTTTTAATGAAAAGTACATTGTTTAAATTCTTAGTGATGGATGCTTTTGAGTTATGAGTTGTATGTTCCTTTAAGACAAATAGGAAGGAACAGATAATCCAAATTTGTTTTTTCTGTGAAGTTTATGTTCGAGGATAGCATCCTATAGCTATTAATTTTTCAGGTGAAATGTGACTTCTTTCAGGAAAACAGTAAGATTGAAATGAGGTGCTGTCACAGAAAGCTAAAAGAAATCCAAGAAGTATTCCTTGTTAGTTATTTCTGCTCAGTGCAATGTTTGACTGCTGAAGTATTTGTGATCCTTTTCTTTTGTTTCTCTGTATCATCAAATTTTCTGTTAGAAACCAGAAGAGCTAGCTTTCAAGATGGTATTGTATTTTTTTGTGCTTTTCATATAAAGTAATAATTACTTCAGTAATTGCCTGAATATCAAGATGATATGCATGCACGCTTGTGTGCATGATCATATATAACACTAAAAAATACGGTTTTAGAAACAAATCAGTATTCGCTTCCGTATTATTGAACTATCAACTTAATACTGCTGAACATCATAGACAATGCTTTGTACTGCAATAAATTTTCACAGTATTGAAAAAAATTGTGTATTGGAGAACACTGCTTTACAGATAGATAGGAGAAGGCAAATGGAGTAAGTTCAGACAGGAACAGGAGTTGATTTGGCTTTAACTCCCCAGATCATGCCATAATTACTAGAAACTTACCTGCAAAACATGGTTGCCTGCAAAATATGTGTCCAAAAATAACTAAATGAGCACTATAAAAATTACTAGTATTAAGACTATCAAATCAAAGGCATTACTAGTCAGGCACCTTGGGATGATTTGTATCTTACTCCAGTTGTATCTAAGAGTACTGCTCAACTAATATAAAACATGGAGGGAATAATCTTCAGGCAGGTAATCTTGAAACAGATTCTATACCCAGCCAGCTTCTCTTCCTGGAAAAGCATGGTGATTATTTCCTCAACAATTTTAAGTTTTTGGTAAAAGAGTAAGGAAGATGTGAATAGTTAGTCCAGAGATTTAGCAGCTGGGGGGAGGAGTGTCTTTTATGGCCCACCTGTCCAGTTTTTGAGACAAAACCTTTCTTTGGAGGAGTGACTCCAAATCAAGTACTTCCAGCTCTTTCTCTTACATGCTTCTCAGTGTCAGGGTATAATCTGGACCTTTGAGGTATTACTAGTCTTTCTGCGGTACTTAAATAATCTACATATTTATTTGGCTTGTCTTGCATAAAGAAGGTGGATTCATGGGAAATGCTGTATAAAAACGTTCAACTTCTTTCTTTTTCCTCACAGGGTTCACTCCATCTCCTGTTGCTCAACCACAGCCATCAACTGGCCTTAATGTTGACTTTGAGTCTGTGTTTGGAAACAAATCTTCTAATGTTGTCCTAGATTCTGGTGGTAAGACACTAAAATAAAGGACGTATGTCCTTTAACTTTTTTTATTCTTGAGGTATAAATGTCTTAATCTGTGTTTACTCATACTGCTGTCACAGTGTTCCAGTTGAAGAAAAGAAAGCTGACTTTAAAATGTCAATAGCAGTATTCTTCATCCAGTTTTTCTTAATCATATAATTTTTCTCTGGACACTATTTCTATGTGCACCCTGCTGAAATATTTACATTGACTTCCTTCACTTAAATATTTTCTGCATTAAAACTTCACACAGTGGACAGCCTTCAGTTTTATGTGCTGTTATCTGAAATTAAGCCTGTATTTGTAGAGTATGGTTGGAAGAGGTAAAATTACATTTTAATTATATATATCTGTGCAACACATTTTTGGCACTTCTTTGACTACATGTTATTCTTTCGATGTTAAGATTATGTCAGAGTGATAAATTATCAAAATGTATGCAGTTAATTTGGATTGTAGTCATAGTTAGTACCCTTTCTGTTCTTTTGAGTATCTGGAAAGTAAATACTTTCTGGTCTTTTGAGATTGGACTCTTGACATCAGATTCTTTGTGGGCAAACCAGTGATCCACTAAAAGCAAATACAAATGCGTTTTTATAAGATTGAAATGCTTTAGGTATTATTCTTTATTTTGTTTTACATTTTGATTGCTTTGCAGTCATTGTGAATCCATTCCGTGTAAAATTGATCTCACGTAGGTTAAACTAGTAAAGTTGAAATCTCCTTTCTGTAGTAAATATCTCCTTTATCAAGAGACATAATAAGTTTTGTCCTTCTTGTATAGCGTAGCACTGCTAGGTTAAATTTTGTATTTTAGCCATTGTGTTGAACTTGCTGTCTAGTTAATTGACTGTCGCAACATTCATGGGAGACCTGTGATTCAAATCACTTACTTCATGTTTATCATTCCAAGGATTTGATGAACTAGGTGGTCTCCTAAAACCAACAGTGGCCTCTCAAAACCAGAGTCTTCCAGTTGCCAAAGTACCACCTAACAAATTAGTGTCAGATGATCTGGATTCATCTTTAGCCAATCTTGTAGGCAGTAAGTATTGAATCACTAACATATAAATACTTAATTAATTCTTTTAAATGAATAGAATTTCAATAGTATTTTTTCTACTTTGTAACAGATTTGGGCATTGGAAATGGAACTACTAAAAAGTGAGTATGCTTAATCAAAAGTTGAGCATTTTGATTTTCTTGATAGTAAATTTTTATGAAAGTACAGGTTCAAACCTGTGCATAACAACGTAACGTTAACCTTCAGAGCACATTTGGGGTTGTACTTTGTTTCTCATACAAGGTATAATGAATTGTTGAGAGCTGTTGGAAGATGAGAGTTGACTGAGTGGTAGTGACAGTGATAACAGGAGGCGTGGTGTCCTCCTGTCTCCGATTCCTTTCAGGCTTTGTATATATTTAGGAAATGAGTTCATCAAAATGTTTCTTTAATTGTAGGTAATCTTAGCACACCTTAAATACTTTGTCTGATCTGAGTGTGTGCAGAGCTGTGTTAAAGACTGAAACTACAGCCTCTGACTTGTTGACCTTTAGACAAGTGAATGTTGAAGCAGGGCATGTTCTAAAATAGTGAACATCTGCTCTAGTAGCATAGTTGAGAATGTGATTAGCAAATTTCAGGCTTATCAGAACCATCTGTGCCAACTCTGAAATCATTCAGAAATCTAGTATGCAGTTGTTTCTAACTAAACTATCTTGACCTAAGGGAAGTCAACTAGACTAACTTACCTATACTGAGGAACTTGACTGAGAATAGATAAAGCTGAGGTGGCTGTTGTTGGACATCTGACCTTACTTTTTCTAGCCAACACAAGCTGTCATGAGACCTTTTAGGACATAAGTGAGCTTCTTCACTAACAAAAGAAGCCATATTTCCAAGAGGAAACGGTGTTTACCTGAGGGAGTTTTGTAAGAAAATCCAATGTTTTCTAACAATTCTTAAAAAAATCTATTTGAAGTGATGTAAACTGGACTCAGCCAGGTGAAAAGAAACTAACAGGTGGTTCCAACTGGCAACCCAAGATTGCGCCTACAACTGCGTGGAATGCTCCAACGTTGGTAAGCAAATGCTCATTTTAAAATAGTGAGTTCCCTGCAACTTAGATATGCAGGCTGATGTGTCACGAAGAAATCTGAAAGTGGTCTATAGTTGCAGTAAAAGGGTAGTAGAAAATTGAAGAAGTGGTTAGTTTGAGATGTGTTCTGCTTGGATTTGGTTTTCTTAACTGTGTTCTAGTAAATAGTTTGATGTGAGATGTGCGGGTTTGGCATAAACTTCAGTAGCGTTTGACCAGCCTCTCTCATGGCAAGACAGCAGCCTTGGTGTTTCACTCAACTGACTTTTTATAAGGGCATGTAGTGATAGGAGAAGGGGCATTGGCTTTAAACTGAAAGAGGGAAGATTTAGAGTAGATACAAGGAAGAAATTCTTCACGGTGAGGGTGGTGAGGCAGTGGCAGAGGTTGCCCAGAGAAGCTGTGGATGCCCCATCCCTGGAAGTGTTCGAGGCCAGATTGGATGGGGCTGTGAGCAACCTGGTCTGGTGGAAGGTGTCCCTGCCCATGGCAGGGGGGTTGGAACTGGATGGGCTTTAAGGTCCCTTCCAACCCAAACCATTCTATGGTTCTATGATATAAAACTGTGAATTGGAGCGGGGGCACTTTGCAGTCTAGAAAAATAGAAGTGTGAAAAGTGTGTTCTTTAGGTGTGCCAATACATCAAGTATGTATACAATACAGTTCAGCCTGCTCTAGGGATGAGAACAGGCCGAGAGATTAATCCTCTTGATACTTGTAGAGGTGTCTGTGCAGTGATGTGGGTATAGTTTTCTTAATGTACCTAACTACTGCTTTCCTGCCCCGATGTGTGGAATTGTTTTTAATGCATGTCAATTTTGGTGATCAACTTCATAGTGCCTATCCTAGCAGGTGGTATTGGCAAGGATTTTGGGGGCAGCATGTGGAGCGAGGGCTCTTAATTACATGTTCAGGGTTTACATGAGTAGTTTTCACAATGCTAACAGAACATTTTTGCATGTGAACACTACTCACCCTTTCCCCCATGGCCTGGAGAACTGTACATGGGCAGAACAGGTAACAAACTGCCCCTGAGGATTTATTGCATCTGACTCTAACTGACTGGGAGAGGCTGTATCTGCAGTGTAGTAATACAGTGTTGTGGATCTGGAAAGAGAGACCTTGTCTCCCTGGATCCACCACGTCCTCCCTGCTGAGTGCCCCTTATCAACTCCCTACATTTATGTAGGGAGAAATGTTTGTGGAACTTACTGGAGGGTGTGCAGATATTGAAGAAACTCACCTGCTCTAATGACTGATAGTTTGAGTTTACCTGTGTGCTTGGGTCTGTTTAATAACTCATGTCTTGTATATACATCTTCTTGTGATAAGTCATTACATTATATTACAACAGCTTTTGTTATTTAGAGATACTGTTGAGACACTTTTCTTCCTGTGAAACTGTTCTATTAACATACAAATCTTGAAACAGAAATAACCTAGGGGGAAAGAAAAAGGTTGTTTTCCTCTGCTGGTCTATTTATTGTGGAATTGCTGCTGCTTGCTAAATAAATATGCTTTTGAAAATAAGGCTTTCTTGTCTTTGGAAAAAAGGCATATACCAAATAAATGGACTATGCAAAACAATTACAAACCTACTAATGATGACAGTATCACAGGTATGTGTTGTCTCAGTAAATGACTTGAATTGCAAGAATGTGTTGGGGTAAACATGTAATGTATTTGTGAACTAAAATGCTATCTGTGTATATTCCGTTGTGTAAGTATTTGCTTCTAATCCAGTGTTATTGCATTATGTAATTGTTCTCCCTGGGAAATACAGAATGGCATGCATTTTCCACAATACGTAAGTGAAACAACCCACAGCCTTTTTGCAATCAACTGGCATGCTGATATTAACCACTGCTGTTGCAGAATCTCATAACCTCCTTGCTGTTTACACATTTCTCATTTTAAAATCTTTGGTGTGCCAAAAATTGAGCTTTTCTTAGCATACACGAACTTCATAGGTGGTCTGCAGGCTCTTGACTCGAATGATGGCATGGGAAATACCAAGATTATTTTTCCTTGCTTTAAACTGTACCATTTGCTGCCAGAGAGCTGGGGTGTATGTCTGTGCTGCCTTTAATGCACTTGGTGAATTTTGAATGAAGATAAAAACGTTTGTGTTTGAATAACTGCATGAAACCTCACGGGCTTCTGTTATACTTGGCACTTTATCCACGTTTATGGTAGATTTTGATTTCTTTTTTTTTAAGTGGGGAGAGACCAATATGTCATCAATGCTCATATGAAAAAATAAAATCCATGCCGACAGTTTACAAAGGGCAAGCAATAACCTGTGCTTGCTGTCTGAGGAATGCAGTCTTTTATTTCAAAGGAATTTTTTTTCTTTATGTCAACAGTGATATTGGTCTTTCCCTGTATTCTGTTTTTATTGCAGGGTAACTCTGTAACTAAAGGATGGTAGGTCTATACTTGAGCACTCAAAAATTAATTTAGTCAGCATGTTTGTGTGTGTGTAAGTGTGTGTACACAGGCAAAACAAAACCAAAAAAGTAATTTTCAGGATAGCTTTGCTAGCTGTGTGAAATATATGGATAGTACACGGTCTTGATAATTCTTGATCGGGGAAATCTGTTCTGATGGCAATTGAAATGCCAGTGACACTGGCTATGAAAAGGCAGCTGATACCTCAGAACTGAATTCGGAAGCGGCTTTGCTTCCTATTCTTGATGTTAAAATTTATCTGCTTTAATCCAGTATTACTACTATTTTGTCACTTCCCTCTTTTCTGTATCAATAATCTCTGTGTACCAAGAAATACATACGGCCTTTGTCTTGTCATGAATAGTAATCCCCACAGCAGTAGCGTGAAAATTAGACTGTTTTTTCTTAAAGGAGAGTCTAACAGGAGGTAGAGTGGATAGACAGCAAGTTATCTGAATATTCATAAGCACCAATTTATAGTCTGGAAAAAAAGGGGGGGGTTTTGTCCTTGTAAGAGTTAATGCTAACTTAGAAAGTGGATAATGAAACTGTAGAATGAAGAATATGGTTAGTATAGGAAGAACTGTCTTTATATATTTTTCTTTCTAAGAGTTATCAGCTGGTTTTCTATGTATATATTGCCGAGCTGTTTACAAAACATAGCTTCACCCCAGGTTTTGTCTGTTGACAGCAATCTTGCTGTAACTTCGCAGAAGTTAACTTAGATTAAGGGTACTATAAACATATCTGCAAAGTACTAAGAGGACTTTTAACCTGTTCAAATTCACTATGCTAAGTGGGTGAGTGAGAGGGAATGCAAGTTGGATATTCATGTGAGAGCTGAATTTATATTGAAGCATGGTAGGAGAAATCCCCGTAGCGTGTACATCCTGGCTAAGAGAAGAGAGTTTCTGTAATGTTGGCAGAAGCAATGGTAATTTGGTCTTTCAGTCTTTAAAATTCTGTTTTGAGACTCCTTGTGTACCATTACTTCTGATATTGAAATAGAATATATACTTCATGGGATTAAAAAAAGGCTTCTGCTTCCTGCGTATTTTCTCTCAAACTTCTCTGTCTCGTACTGTGTTCTTTAAACAGGATGCTGAGAGAATGGTAGCTGTCAACTTAGTTTAGTCAGCCAGAATCCTAACAGGTTAAAAGCAAATACATAATTATAGATTTGCCAAGATCACCTAGAAACTGTAGCTTAGGTACTGTATGCTATCTGAAATAATTTGGATACACTCTTGACACAAGACTGCAAATCCTATTTATTCTTTGCCATATTCCTAATAAACTAAGTGCTGCAGTTGACTCTTAGAAAGCAATGTCTTACCAGCAGGCAGCTGATCTTCTCCTCTCAGTTCACCCCTGTTTTTCATACCAGGCACCACCGGTAATGGCATATCCTGCCACAACGCCGACAGGAATGATGGGCTATGGGATGGTGAGTGGAACTCCTGCAACTCAAGTCAGAGGCTCTGTATCATTTGATTGCTTATAGTTCAGTAGCAGTTGTTTTTCTGAACTGTTTTACCGAAGACTGAATTTCAGCTCCTGTTGGCTTATTCGTCACCAAATCCTTAAGTCCTGGTTTTCTGAACTGTTTCTGTGGTTTCTGTCTAAAATAGTCTGCCCTTTCTTACCTCACTTAACTTTTAAAAGTTTATGAAAAACTAAGACAGTATCTATTCTTGGTGGGCTTTATTGGTGTAGAAATGAGTGTATCATGGAAATAAGTGTTTCATGTGAGCCTGGGTAGCTACATTCACAACAGGAATGTTTTATCGGTGAGGTGGAGCCTTCCTTAAATACCTGCTGCCAACCTCAGCAAAAGGTATCTGTAATGACCCATGCTACAAAACTGCAAGTTTGTGACACTGCCATGTGGTGTTGGTTGAGAATTGAATCTCTTGGTGACACACCAGTACTGGAAGGATTTTGACATAAACCTGAACTTGCTGCTCTGAAAAGTTGTTCAAATTTTTGTTCTTACCTCAAATTTTAAAATACTTCTGAAATGATGTGCCTTAACTCTTCTTCAGTAGTATGGTTTGGATGTAGCACAGCTTTGCTGGGTGAGTAAAAGAGGGGAGAACTTCCTTAGAACAGTTAGTCTGTTAAATGGCTCACAGATGTGTACAATAAAAATAAGCTAAATGTTTCATCTTGTAATCAAATTAGATTAATGATTTATAACTTGTATCTGCTCAGTAAGTGAACTGCAAAAGTGACCGATTGTGTTCTTGAGGGTCTTTTGGGAGAGTGTAATGTTCCCTGTTACCCATCCATGAACTTCTGTAGTATGTGCTTGTGCAACATAGTCGTGATTAAACTACTACTGTTGGTTCAAACTGGAGCTACACAACTTTGATGGTCCTGGAGGCATTTTCTTAATTATTTTGATTCAGCAGCTGGGGAAGGTAACACATGTGGTATACAGAAAGTAGTCTTGCATGCTTTGTAAAGCAGCTTTCATCGTGGGGTTTAAATGCGAATGTGAAATGGAAACTGGAAGTAATAGGAACCGTAGCTCTGTTATCCTGAGTTGCGGTTACTTGTTCAAAAGCGTGCGATGTCTGAGCAGATGGGTGAGAGGGGCCGTTCCAGAAACGAGCAGTAGGTGTTGTAACACACTCTGAAAACTGCCCTGGCTCACTCAGACTGTACTCAGGACATTTACTGCTAGGAATCTCTGAAATGTTGACCCTTTGTACAACCCTTGTGTTTAATTTTTCCTAAAAGCAGTGGTAGGTACCATCATAGTTCTGAGCACGACCATTTATAAGTGGCAGTCCAGTAGCAGGCTTTTCCCTTGGTGAGGTCGTACGGGGACAGGCGATTTCATTCGTACCTTAGCATTCCCTGGCTGCTGGTTCCTCTGTCTTCATTGCGCCAGCAGTTATTTGTAACTTACTTTTTTTGTAGGCTGTTGTCATCAGGGTCACTTTCTTGAGTGGATTTACCATGTGAATGCCCAACCAGCTGGATGGTGGGATAGGAGGAGGACTGGGATTAGTCGAGGAAAAACTGCTTGGCATGGGGATTGCTTCAGTAGGGCTGCTGCTGGGCGTCAGCCCAAGCCTGAGGGGAGTGCCAAAAGCAGCGCCAGAGATGGGCATCTATGTTCAGTAAAACCTGACTTCTAAGACCATTAATACATGTTAAACTCTTAATTCGGCTCAGCTGGAGTGTCAGTAACACTTTAGACTTTGATTGCATAATGACTTAACGTTAATTGTACGTAGAGTTCTCAGGTTTTGGTTTTTCTTGAACTCTGTCACCTCTGCATTGATAACTGTAAAACTGTTCTTGTGCTTTCAAAGGCAGACAGAGAAATGCTGTCAGAGCGCAGTTTTGGGAACAAGAGGATCAGCACAAATGCTAGTGCTTAAACAAGTATTTTAGCATTTCACATCTTTGCAGCAAGAGATTAAATGGGCTCAGTCGTTTTTGAGAGTGTTCCTTGAAAAGGCTCTGATGTTCCTTTCTAGTAACCTTTATTTGCAGAATATTGTAGAAGGATCCTAGACAATTGCATATGTCAAATATAACCAAGAATTTTCACCCATTTACCATTTTCCTTTCGCTCCTTAAATACTTGCAATGTATTAATGCTATGTGTGATTTGATGTTTTCCGGATTTTTTTTTTTAGCCATCACAGATGGGAGGCATACCAGTAATGACACAGCCAACTTTAATATACAGTCAGCCAGTCATGAGACCACCAAACCCTTTTGGCCCTGTACCGGGAGCACAGGTGTGTATGTTCAAAACCATTGGTGCTAGGAACAGCTTACAGCTGGGTCAGCTTCCTTAATATTTTCTTGTGTTGGACAAATGCATTGCAGCAGTTCACATAAGGATTGCTTCCTAGCTTCTCGCATCCAGGTTGGCAGCATCAAGTTTGTTTTACAGGAGCACAGAGTTTGAAGCAGTCGTTTTTCTGGCTATGTGATGGAGGTTTACCTCAACGCTTTAGTTTAGTTTAGAGTAGTTGATGTCTGTGTGTTGGCTGAAGATGGGCTGCTTCCCCAAAGTTTGCCTTCCATGCTGCTTTACCTCTAAGTACAGCTTTGTGAGATTGTGCTATTACAGCTGTTTCCTAAGCATGTGTGGCACTGTTCTTTGACCTGTTACACGTTAAAGTATTGGATTATTAAGTAAGCAAGTCTGGCAGTAGCTGTAAACTTTTTTTAAAGTGTAAGCTGCATGCATATATTACAGCATTTTTCAGGGGACAGGCAGGGCCTATGTAGCCTTGCAAGTCTATGAATGTTGTAGATGGGTTTGGAAAGAACGTGGTATCCAACGTGGTGAAACTTCAACCCAGCACCTGGTTGTTAGTACTGCCTGCTCTCACTGGGAGACACATGGCCCATTCATCTGGTTTTAACTGTCATATTCCCCAAAGGTCGTCGTATTCCTCCATGTTTTTGCAAAAGACGGTATTTACGGCATGGTGAAGACATTCAATAGCTACACCAATCTGTCAGACCTTTCCCCATTAAAGTGTTTTGTTAAATGGAGTGTTCCTTAAATTGCCTGCTTTTCTGCTTCTCATGATATGTGGTGGGTAGATTCATTAGCTAACGTACTGGACTAACAGGATGCTGAAGGGTTACTTTGAACATTGAGAAGAACTGACTTTATCAATACTGGAATTAAATACCTACCTTTTACTGTTTGTTTTGCAAACTTCTGTCATCAGTCAGTTTCTATCTGAACTTACTTTTTTAACCCAATAGTCATCTGAAGATAGTTTTTTGCAGTAGGAAAAACACTTTTAAAAAAAAAAAAATAGGGGGAAGAGGGGATGGACAACCTTGAACACCATACTATTTTCAGAAAATACTGAGATCATTAAGACTTTGTTCTGTTTGTGAACTGTAGTTAGAGGCAGAGCCAAGTTTAGGCAGCAGATTGCAACTCCAGTATCAACGGTGTGGTTTTACTTACCACTCAAATGTTTCTTTGTCAAAGCTCACACTGTAAACTGTGAGTCGATTAGAAAATGTAATATATTGGGACTGTATTTTGATCTTACTGTAAAGAGCTCTGTCTTTATAGGTGACTGTTTAAAAACATGCGTGTATAACTTCACTTAGGTATGCGTTGGTGTATGTGTGGGCTTCGGGACTAGAGTGTGGAGGGAGGAGAATTCAGCAGTAGGGGGAAAAGAGCCTCAAACCTTCTCCAGTGCCTGAATTGGATCCTTTAACAGGAGAGGCAATGCTGTGCGCTGCCAGTGGGCAGCACATCCATTGTCTTCCATACAGAGAGAGAAATGCAGTTCAGAATTGACTTTCTCTTGGACTTCTGAGAGCTGCTTTGCACATTCACTGTCACTTACGCGATTTGGTATCTTTCGCATGGGTTTTTATGTTATTTAAAGGGGCGGAAGGGGGTAAGTGTTTGTGACAATTCCTAAATAGAGAACAAGTTAAAGGATCCTCAAGGATAAGAGTTCTTTTTTCTACGTTTCAAAAAAAAAAAAAAATCTGCCTAATTCAGTTACAAACAGGTAGGTATGTCTGAGCAGCTAGGTGAGCCTTCCTGCTCCATTTGACATTGCAAGGCTTGGTCTAGGTTGAATCCCAGCTGGCTGTTGGAGGAATTAGTCACAAGTGAGGTGTGTAGAGCTGTGTTTATTGTGCTTATCTGACAACATGTTTGACTCTTGTAAGAATTAATTTGATAGAAAACACACCCTTTGAATCAACGTTTGCTGTGTGACCGGGAAGGGTTTTCCCTGAGACACGCAGTCGGTGTTCCTTGCAGGTGTTGAGCTTTCAGACATCTGACATCAATAAATGAAACAAAGGCTGCATGTGAGAACTTCTTCCCTGTATATGGCAGAGGTAGCATTTACTAACGTATAGCTACAGAGGGGAATTACAATATTGTTACGCTAAATTTACTGTATGTTTAGTTTTGAGGTTGTTCTGAGAGCATATTTTGCTGTTCAGGTTTAGTTCATGCTCCTATTGTGCTACAAATAGAAGCAGCAAAATAAAGAAATAAAAATGTGTGTTCTTGGGGTAAGTAAACAAATCTTAAAGAATGAATAATGGCTCTCTGAAAGGCAGGCAGTTCAAGCTCCCTACATCCCATGTGGATCACCCTAAACACCATTATTCTAGTGCAAGTTTTGTCTATGGCACCATCACTGCCAAAAACTAAGTTGTTTTTCATATTTACATTTAAAGCAGCAGATCATATCGCTTACCTCTAGTCTGCTGATAGATCTGGTTTGCTGTCTACAGTAAAGAAACTTGAAGGTACTTAAAAGCATAATGACAGATATGAAGCTGTTGCTGAAAAATTGTATTGCCAAGTCATAGTGTGTTGGGAACTCCTCCTGCTTTGTATACAGACTGGTAAAACAGGCATCCCAACGTTGTCCAGTTTCTTTGTAATTTAAACTGGTGTTCCTAACTTGATACTCTTAAGGATTTGTCCTAATAAATATACTTCTCATACCTCTACACATACCTATTTTGCTTCTCTTTCAAGTGTTCTGTTTACATGCATGCAACTTTATTTCTAATTGTTGCTATCAAAAGCACGGCTAGTTTGTTTTCTTTCAGGGCAAAAGAATTTGAAACAATTGAGACTAGAACAGTTGCTTCTTTGAAAATCTAGGTGCAGAAGATATTTGTGGTTTTAAAAGAAACTGGTGTGTGCCTCTTTTCTTTTAAATCACTTATTTTGCATTAGGGTCAGTATTTCCCGCTTGAGAAAGAAAATAATAGTTTTATCATGATAAAACAGCAAGCTTTCCTCACTGCAAAGTATTAGATCATGCTACCCAGAGCAGTGAGAATGGTTGGAGTTGTTTGATTAAATTCTAGCTGGCGGGGGGGAGAGTGTCTGTGTGTGTGTGAGGAAGGGACAGGCTGAATCAAAGGTCCAAACAAGGTTAAAGAGTAGCCAGAGTGATGGCAGAGATGATACGGTACAGCAAGTGCAGAATATTTCAGACAAGCCAGATGTGAATGATGTACAGGCAACTGGGGTATAGCGCCCTGTTGTAAGACCTGAGTGTCGTCATGTACAACAGCAGTGCTTGAACATTCACCACCACCGAAAACATTATCATGTTGGCTAATATAAAATGGTACAATCCTGACACGTCAGTGGTGTGCTGTTGTTTTAAATGCTGCTTAGAAACTGCTAAGGTAGGTTCTGGTTTTCAGATGTATTTATAAGCAGTATTCTGGATAGATGCAGTGTAGGAAACTGTCTAACTATGCTTTCCACTTTTTTTAGGCTCCTTTTTAATAATTAGAGGAATTTTGTTAGAATGTGTATTTACTGTAAGATACTGTGTCTTGTCTGAATTTGGCTGTAGCATCTAGGAAGTAGCCTTGTCAAGTTCTCTCCCAGTATTTAACCTGAACAGGCTTCCTGAAAGTTCACCTCTGTTTCTGGTTACATGCTGATGTTGCACAAATGACAGAGCTCTAAACCTACCAGTCTTCCACACTGCTTTCAAACCGGGACATTACTTTGGACTTGATATCAATTGAAGATTTGCCAACTCAATTTAACAGGACTTTTTAATATGTGAGTACAAGTCGTTTGACCATGAAGAGGAAGAATGTCTCATAAAATCAAGTTGCAGCAGGCGTGCCTTGCTGAAATTAGGACTCTGCTGGACTTTATCATTAGTCTGGCTCAAATCCTGGAGAGTGGTGGGGTACGTTGAGCTACAGCTTTCCAAAGGGAAGAACCAAGTTTAAAAGGGGAACTTCTGACATCCTGAAATGGCTGCTCAAGCGCTTCCCATTCTGTCTCATGAGTCTCCGATAATCTGTTTATGGGGACTGGATCTGAGTGCCCCGCTGGGAGTGAGGTTTCAGGAGGGAGATAAAGATTCCAACCCAGATAGAGATGACTGATCCTGAAAGAACTCCTTCTCCTCATGTGGTTTCCAAGACAGATGTTAATATTAAAAAATTTAAATTTTCAATGGCAATATTTACACTCTGGGCACTTCTGCAAGCAGTTCCCATAAGCAGGTTCCCTGTCTTGTGTAGATTGGCAGGCATTCAGTATTTCCAAAGGAAATACGTCTTCATACCCACTGCAAAAAAACATCGTATGAAGTGCAAGTACACACTGGCAATTAGTGACTCCATTATGAGTAAACTGTTACAATGATGGAACCTGAAATGGAGAAACCTGACTTTTACTTGTAACTACAAGGGCAAATAGAATTTATTAAAGCACCATTTATAATTGGGAAAGCACTAACAAAGAAGGAAAACAGCTTAAAAAAAAAAAATAATTCAATGAATAGCAGATACTCCTGCAATTACAGCCTGCAGATTATTGGTCCCTTCCAGCAGCAACAGCTGGAACGCCAGTATTCCCTACTTGTAAATTATGTGCTTTATATGGCTGCATTTGTAGTGTGGTGCTTGAAGTACATGGTTATAGGGTGTGATTTTTGTTAGTGTATAAACAGTCGGTCTCAGTCTTCAGTTCTCACCTGAAACAGCAGCAGCTGACAGACTCTCATCTTCCACGCACCCTCCCGACCCCCCGCCCCCCCCGAATATATCCTGTGTTCTTCTAGGCCTCAAATTGAGAATTATCTGTTATCTGCTCTCCAGCGTCTTTATGCACATCCTATTTTGAGGGGAAAATATGCTGAGAGCTGTGTTTCTTCCAGGGAAGGCATCTGGCAAGCTGCCGTGCTCTGGCCAGACCCCCAGCCTCATCTCTCCCTCCCAGTACATAGTTTTGCCAGTAAAGCGGGGAGAGTGCTACCCGTTTCACAGGAGTCAGCCTTAATCTTTTATATCTTATTTTGAAGAAAGCTGCTGTGAAAGTGCGAGGTTATCTGCTTATTTGGCAAATGCCAATTGAAGTTTCCTTTCCAGAGGGTCACGTCCAACTTGTTTCTGCATTACACCAACCATTGAAGAGGCTTTCTGTTTTCCATATGACCAAACACCTTGTTTTAATAGTTGATTTCTGCCAAGTTCGCCTCTTAATCTCCCCTTGTCCTTTCATTACACGTTCAGCTTTCATATTCTGTCATTCTGAGACCTTTTTTTCTTTTTCTTTCCTTTTCTCTGTCGTCTTTCCTACTAGCTGTCTGCAGCATCCAGCCCTTCCAGTCAGAGTCCTCACAGAGCCTCAGGAAAGGATCCCTTTGCAGAGCTCTCTCTCCAGGATTTCTTGTAGAACAACTTAGGTATTGTCCATTATTCTGGGGAGATGCTGGTTTTTGTGATATAAGACAAAATTAAAGTTCTAATTCACATTTCATTAACATGACTAGAACTGTTTCTGAAGAAAATAAAAACAAGTCATGTTGAGTTGGAAGCATTGTGGAAGTGACTTGGAAACTCGATACAGTTAATAACTGCAGCGGTTTAAAGGCCTGATAAGTCATTTTGCTTTAGTCCATCGGAAATAGTTTGGTAGTTCCCTTCTGAACTGCAAAAGCCAGCACATGTGGTACTTGCTGCAGTTAGGGAGAAGGAACTGGTAGGACCGGGTATTTACCATTCCATTGGGAAAATGTTTAGGGTTCATGGTTATCAGCAAACACCTGACTGCTGCGGGCAGTCTGCTTGTGCACTCCATCAGGTTGCTTGTCCAAAGAGTTCACTTCATGCAGGAGGAGGCACTTGTTTCATGGGTATGAGGGTTAAATTTTGGTACAGGTGTGCACTGGAGTTCTGCTTTTTATCAGTCGGGGGCAGGTGGGAATTAAAGACTAAAATGAGTGAAAATGTGAAAAAAATCAAGAATACATAGTGTAAAGAAAGAGTATGTTTTATAGCACACAGTGTCTGCTTTTCTTTGTGCACTTCCTCTGGTTCAGCATGAAAAATAACTTTGAGTTCTCCTCACGATGATGTTGATCTATGTTACACTGCCACTGGTGACAATATTGTGTGGAAACGTAGTTTTGGGTTTTTTTTTATCATTGAACAAGCCAGCTTAATGTAAAGAGATGTTCTGAAGGCTGGTGTAGTTGGAAAACCATCTTGATGGCGTTTGGTTGTTTTCTGGCTCTGATTTTGTAAAATTTTTTTATTTCTGTTCAAAACTTCAGATCTTGGGGTAGCTTGGGTATTTGAAGAATAGAAGTTTTTGAAGAAAACACAGGTTTATAGTGAAGTCCTACTTCTTTGGATGTTAACGCAAGGGTGTTTAATCTTTCCAGATTCAGTTTATGTAACTGTGTTAGATGGAAGAGAAAGGAACGTTTCCAAAAAGATGTGCTCACCAGTAAATCCCCACTTCCAGGAAAAAACCATGAACTTCAGTGTCTCAAACTCTCCTCTTCCATGAAATGATCACTTCTCCAGTGAAACGATGAAGACCAATGAAGGAACCTGGGGCAACTCCGTAAGAAAACATCAATATACAACACAAAACCAAGAATTGCCATGAATTAAGACTAAGATCTATTTTTTTTGTCCTGGTGACTAACGCATCGATACTTTCAGCTTCTAATAATGTCCATAATCGGTAACGTACGAAGAGAAGCCTTTATTCTGGAAATTGAGATTGACATTTCGAAATGCCGTCTGGAATGGAGATGTGTCCTTTACCGTAACTCAAAATGAGACTTTGGGCAGGGGAGGGTCAAATCCTAACTCTTAATTCTGCAGTTACCTTTTCTTCAGTCCTCACAAGTGTAGGCACAGCAGTAATGGAAATTAACTTTTTAAAAAAATTATATATTCAGTTTGCAGTAGACATTCCTTATGTATTATTGTTTGTATTTATTTATGATTATCAATTTAACATTAATATTGTATCAAAAAAAACTCCTTATGAAAATGAGTATGGATGTATACAGTATGTCTGATTTCTATCCACAAAGAATGAATCTGATTCAGAATGCTTTTCAGCTGACATACAGAGCACTAAATATTTTAAAGGTCTGAATCTAATGAATTCTCAGTATATATGGGAATTAAGGAAGAGCTGTAAAATGCATTAATCCTTATAGTCAATTCTGTGCCTAGGATTTTGCAAGGGAACAGTTAACTGACTAGAAGAAGCACTACATTTTTAATTCAGCATTAGTGCATTGGGAAGGAACTTTACTGCTTTGTGCTTGGCATGTCATTATTTTTACATTTGACATTATAAGGCCTTTCCAAAATGAATGTGAGGAATTGCTTTCACTTTAAGACTTTCCTTCCTTTCTGTAAAAAAAAAAAATAAAAAAAAAAATAAAAAAAAGAAAAAAAAATAAATTGAGGTGGTGTGTGTTGGGGGGAAAGCCTTTTCATTTGGCTAGTGCCATGTTTCTGATCATGTACCTTTTAAAAGTAAAAAGAAAAAAAGGGAAGTAGCTTCCTTACCTGTGTCTAGTGGGTATTTAGTTAACGCAGAATTAAAGTAGCACTGTTGATCGGTGCTCTGTGTAAATACATCATAACTTTTGGGTGGAGTGGGGCCTTCAGAAGGATAGTCAGTGATATGAAAGCAATTCTGTACATGAATTAAGCATACTTGCTGCATTGTCTCTGCAGATTCTATTTTTGTTTAAAATATTAAAATGTATGTTAGCAAAAATGGGTGGATTTTCAAATAAAATGCAGCTTCCACAGAACTTTTGTTACGGTATGAAGGTCTGAGGTGCTTCTTTTCTTTTTGCTGCTTAAAATGTGCACTGATAATTGCTTTGTTTACTTAATAAAATACCAAATGTATTTCAGATGTGCATATTGTATTACAGGAAGTGCAGGACTATGAACCCGTAAATGACGTGATCCGTACAACATCTTCCTGGTGGTGCTGTGGTAGATGGCCTTAGTTCCACTCTAGTGAGTTGTCTCATTAAGAGCTGGTATTCCTTCCTTAATATGCTGTTTCAAGATCTTCTAGTTTTTCAAAATATTTGTGGCAATAAATTTGTGCTGTTTATAACTGAGCAAGAAGCATAAATATACCCCCAAAAATTATTTAGGTTTCTTCCCTAATCTTTGAACCAAAGGTAATGCTGGAGAAGCTTTGAACAGTTTGCTGAGACCGTCATCTGCAATGAGGCAGTAGTTTTCATCACAGGGAGATTTGGTAGAAGTGGAACTTTTCTCTTCTCAGCTACCTGAGGCTTGTCCTGAAGGATGTGCATCATCAAATGATCAGTATGGATCAGTAGATTTAAAATGTCTTTCTAAAAGCATGGGTAAAAAAAACCCTGAACCTGTAACTTGTAGAGTATATAATGCACGTGCCCAGATCTGGGAGTTTCATACACAGTTTACTTAAATCTTTACTTTCCTACAAATCAGGCTTTCAGCGTGGAACTGTACCACCAGAGAGCAACTTCTTTTTAGTTTTTGCTTGCACTCAGAGTATCAAAAATGTGCATTGTCTGAAATTCTGAAGCTGGAAAAAAAAGGTGCACATTTGTGTCCTGTTAGCTAAACTGGGAACTACCAGGGTAGAGATTTCTCTGAAATGCAGTCCATAGCTTGTGTGAAAGATTAAGGTAGACTTTCCTCCTCCTCCTCCATAGCCCAGTGTGCTTGGTTGTGATAAAACCAGACTGCAACCTTGTTGTCTTTTTTAGGTCTCTGGTGATCTCTGCACAGGGGTTTTGATCTCTGTTTTGAGGCTGTTGAGTGAGGACAGTTCTGCTTGCTCAGTTCTTAGATCTTTTTGATCCCTTGGACCCCACTTGTGGGGCCGTGGACTTGAGGTTGCAAATCATGCAGATGCCAAAAATCCCCAACAAACCAACCCACCTCTTCTGCAGGGATGAGGAATTCATCTGTTACCCTTTACTGTGTTAACACAGCTGCTGTGCAGGTTAAGCTTTCTTGTTGGAGGCCTTGCTAATAAACTTTGCTTTTGGTTTACTCTTCAGAGAAACTGGCTTTAGAATTTTCCTGAGGATTATTTTTCCATTTACTTTGTTCCTAATAAGTATGTGTGCTTTCAGTATCTCTGCAATAACACTCCGTTGTAGCTCAATTTAAAAAGCATAGCTCGTGGACATGTTTCTTTTGAATCACTGGCCATTTTCAATAGTGGGGGATTGTCAAAATGTGGTTCTCCTCAAAGCTGAGTTCAAAGGGTATTTAAGCTAGAAGGGCAAATGCTGTGCAGGAAAGCTGCCTGCTGTTAGCAAGCAGTGGAGGATGTAGTGCTTTGTTAGAGGGCTGTGGTTCCTTTCAGAGCTTTGTGAAGGAAACGAGTGTGTCAGAATCCTCATGATAGTTTTTAACTGTTTTTTAATCAGAGAATTATATAACAACTGGATTTACCTCTTGAGACAATTACTCTTTCCAGAGCAAGAACCTGAACAGCTAGTAACTTCATGTGTTTTCTAAAACCCCAAATGTAGAACCTTCAGATGAAGACAAATGTAAATTCTGTTGCCGCTTCTGTTCTTTTGTTTCAAAGTCACAAACTAAACTGAACTGTTACATGCAGTCAACTGACGCTGACAGTACCTCAGGAAATGTTTAAAAACTGACTTTACGTGACATCAGAGGGTCCATTCAGCCGGCTCCTGGAATAAGTCACGGACTCTGCCAGCTGCCAAACAGCCCTTCAGCAAGAAGAAGGGACAGGGTGAAACCTGCATCTTTTATTAGACAAAAAGTGCCTGTTTCCAGAGCCTGACATAAATTTTGTAGCAACATAAATGAATTTCAGCTTGAAGGCCATGACATAATTGAGATAAAGATTGTGGCAGAAATATGAGAATTAGGTGCCAAAAACACTGGGAAAGATGGTAAATGCTGATAGGAGCAGAGGATTGACAAGATAATGCGAGGGGTAGCGAAGAAATGTGCTGAATACAGAAGAAAAGGCAATGTTAATGGCAGCATATGTAAACTAAATAAGAGCTTTCTCCTTGGCCTGTTGGCAATCTTTTGACTTGACCTTTGGAGCTCGCTCACATTGCAGGGAAGAGAGCAGAAACGGTCTTGACAGCTTTTGCTGAATTTGCCCAACAAGAAAAATCTGTGAGTTTCTGATATTTTCCATGGTCAAACTGGAGGAGGAAGGGACTCAGCTGATCAGTACGCTGCGTCCCAACTAGCTACGGAGAATGAGTGAGGAGAGAGCGCTGAGCAGGTTCCCCTGAGGGTGTAACATTGCTGCCACCCACTTGGCACCCTTTTGTATCTGGAGGCTGAGCAAACACTGTGTCCATTTCACTTGTGGGAGGTGGCTTGCCCAAGATAACAAATCCATCCAAGTTGAGTAAAACATGTTTATTTCTTACTTCACTGCTGATGAAATGTCTTGAGGCAAAGATCAAAAAGCCTTGGAACAAAGAGCCAGCTTCCTGCAAAGTTCTGTTGTGTGAGCTGGTAATGGTACTGAAAATGTGTTGGATGTAAGTGTACTGCTCGATCGCTGGCAGCTGCGATATACAAGGAGAGCTGAGGTCTCGAGTTTACTTTTAATAGCAAGGATCTCTGCTTTGTTCATGGTGGTAACTGCTGAACTTCCCGTGCCAGCTATAGCAATTGCCCGAGTACTGTTTTTCTAGAAAAGCATTATTTGATACAATTTTAGTCTCTTGTTTCACTTTAATCACTAAAAGTGAGGAAAAGATCCAGCACTATGTCCTATCCCAGTTTTCCACAGTTCAGTGAAAAAAAATCACAGAATCGGCTTGGTTGGAAGAGA